ATTTACCAAGCCCTTTTTATATTTACATCCTGTAAAGCAAATTGGAAATATACAATATCAAATGAAGTATTACACGACCAACCTAGAACATTGGACAAGATGGAGAATGTCCCTGTGCTCTAATTTAACAAGAAGGTCATTTCTCTCCCCAAGGCACTCACATTTTTTAAACTTAAGATATATTTCTGGAAATACACTTCTGTAGTTTTACTCTTAGGTAGGATTCTGAATGCAGGACCTTTACTTCGAGTTTTTTTTTTAGACTGATTTGTTTGTACTGTAACTGTAAGGAATCAGAGTTCTTCTTGGATCACATAAATAAACACAATCACCTTTGATAAACAGATGGAAAATAGCATGCACATTATTTATTTCCCACGGAGATGTTCATTCAGTAAATAATAATTCTTGAGCACAAACACAGCAAACAGGTAAATGGTGAATCTCCCCTTTAAGCTGGAGGCAATTAGGACCCAGGGAACACTGGGCTCTAAATGGAGGACAGTGGAGTGTGTGTCTGTTTGAAAGGAACACACACACACACACACACGCAGTCACAAACAATACAATGTGTGACAGTCAGTGCCATACACAGCACAGGACAGGGATGAGAGTGTTTCTGGTGGACGGGTGATGAGAGAGGAAGCAGCATCTCTGAAATCATCATGGACTCAGTGATCTTCAATTGGAGATGGGAATCTGTGATGAGTCTGGACCTTTGCAGCGTCTACACTTAAGGATCAAACTTCCTTTGATAACACTGACTATTTTACTTTTTGGGATAAAAAAATAAGATAAAATAAAATAAAGCTGGACTGCTTTTGATTTGGGTAGATTGAAACAATATGTTGTATTGCATTTGAAGCTTTGTCAAGTCAGACGTCTGATTCTCCTGTTTGGTCTGAACTGCACCAAACAAAGAGAGGATTATGGGTAAGTTGCTTTTAAGAATAATCAGCTTTATTGTTGTTTATAATGCAGTATGTGTTTGTATTTATCTTTGGCATTATAAATCTAAATATAATCTTGTTCTTATTATGTTTTACTAAACAATGAGGAGTGAAGCCACTGGTATGTTTTGCTACGTTCATTCTCAGTGCAGTGTTGCATGTTGTAAAATGCAACAGATTGTCCTCCTTTTTCTTTATAGACATTCTGGAGCAGAACCTTTGTTTTTTTCCCCCTGAATCAGATAATAACAAAATCAAAGTAGCATAGCTCTTCATCTAGAAACTGCTTTAATTATCATTTTATGATATCACGATATATCTTTGTGCATTTGTCAAGAAAGACCTCACTCTCCTGCACATTTACTCTTGTTCAGTCATGTGCTCTTTGAGTGTAAGTGGGTGTTGTATCAAGTTGTCCCTTTTTTTAAATTCTCTTTCATGGATTTGTTAGATACAAATCCAGAATCAAACACATGAACTAAACAACAAATATTCAGGAACAGTTGGACCTAAGACAGAAAGCAATCTGAGAACTGACCAAAATCACAGCTTATTCTCCTCAAAACTCTTATCTCTGATAATTATGTAGTTTTTAATTTACCCACAAGTATATTTACACTTTAAAGATGAAAACTGGTGAAACATACAGAGAGACTTGCCATATATTATACATATATACATATATGTTATATATTTATTTTTGGATAAAGCATATACCATGTAAAGGGATTTTCTTTTTTTACGTTTTTTTTTATAAGGGTCCGGACTTTAAAATTGTTTGATTTTTTTTCTTCCATTTCCAGATTGCACAGAGAGATACAGGACATGAAGACATCTGAGAAACAAATGGAGGAAGTTCTCAATGAATAATGGCCGACAAGACTGGTCTCATGATAGCCTCTCCGTCAATTCAATCAATCCCAAATCTCACCACAGCCCAATGGGAGCCCAATCCCACAGTTCCTGCAGAAGTGAACGTCGTCACGAGCTCCCAGTCACAGATAAAGGACCTGTTTGGGTTGTTCTGCATGGTGACCCTTAACCTCATCGCCTTGTTGGCCAACACCGGCGTGATGGTGGCCATTGCTCGGGCACCTCACCTGAAGAGGTTTGCGTTTGTGTGTCATCTCTGTGCGGTTGACCTGTTGTGTGCCATCCTCCTCATGCCTCTGGGGATCATATCCAGCTCGCCGTTCTTTGGCACCGTGGTCTTCACTGTTCTGGAGTGTCAGGTTTACATCTTCCTCAACGTGTTCCTCATCTGTCTGTCCATCCTCACCATCACAGCCATTAGTGTGGAGCGTTACTTCTACATCATACACCCCATGCGTTATGAAGTCAAGATGACCATCAACCTTGCTGTCGGTGTAATGCTCCTAATCTGGGTTAAGTCGGCCCTCTTGGCTCTGGTCACACTGTTCGGTTGGCCATCTTATGGACATCATAGCTCCATCGCTGCTGCTCACTGCTCTCTGCACGCGAGCCACAGTCGTCTGAGGAGAGTATTTGCTGTGCTCTTCAGTGTGGTTTGTTTCCTGGTCCCTGCGGTGGTTATCTTTGCTGTTTACTGTGCAGTGTACAAGGTCGCTCGTTCTGCAGCCCTGCAGCAAGTCCCCGCTGTGCCAACGTGGGCAAACGCGAACATTGCCAAGGATCGCTCAGACTCCATCAACAGCCAGACCACCATGATTACCACCACCCGCACTCTGCCCCAAAGACTGTCTCCAGAGAGGGCCTTCAGCGGAGGCAAGGCTGCTCTTACTCTGGTGTTCATCGTGGGCCAGTTCTTGGTTTGTTGGTTACCGTACTTCATCTTTCACCTGCAAATGTCTCTGACTGACTCCATGCAGAGCCCCGGCGACTTAGAGGAGGCGGTCACCTGGCTCGCTTACTCCTCCTTTGCAGTGAATCCGTTCTTCTACGGCCTGTTGAACAGACAGATCAGAGAGGAGCTGGTGAAGTTTCGACGCTGCTGCCTGACCCAGCCCATGGACTTTGGGGCATCCAGCCACGAGGGCTCCCTGCAGGAGAACTTCCTCCAGTTCATCCAGAGAACCAGCAGCACAGCTGAGACCCAGTCCAGCTGTGCTAACTCCAGCCCCAGAAACACTATGAACCAGGGGATAAAGATTCCTGGACAAATACCTGAGGAACATGCCTGAACATTAACCAACCTGAACGAAGGACAACTGTCCTAATATATATTATATTTGTGCATATTGTCTCTATACAATACTGACAGGCCCATATTTACATTTAAAGGATTATTAGTTTCCCTAATTGTTGCTTCTGTCCCCACAGGGTGCAAAGAGGTCTCTTAATGATGGGCGGCAAAATCAATAATCATTTTTCTTTGACTGAGAACAATGACAAGTATCGATTTTGTCATCTATTACTTATCTGTGGCTATTAAGGCCAAAAGGAGCCATCAGACCAAGGCCCAATTCCTTTCCCTTGGCCCCACCCCTAGATATGAAGTGCCCTTTGCTGGTAGTGTCCTGCTCCATTAAGATCCATTAATTATTGTCTGACAAATCAATCCAAAATGTAAAAACACCATGTCTTTCAATGTTTAAGTGAAAAAATCCATTCTGTTGTTTTTGTGTAATCTTGCCTTAAAACACACAAACCAACCTACAAACAAACGTTCAGGAGGACAAACATAATCTCAATGGTGGAGGAAGTAATACTTTAATGTACATGTGTAATGTCAGTATTGTTTTTAGACAGACCTAAAAAATTTGATTCCACACTTAAAATAAATGTCCAGTGCCTTTCTCAGTTTAATTCAGGTAAGCGTTTTCATTACAGGTCAAGGTGCTACAGCTCTACTGTGGCCTGAAGTATTTAAATAAATGTGATAAATGTTCCCCACTAAGTAATTTCACAATACATCGTCATTGGCCTGGTTTCATTCAATTCAATTCAATTCAATTTTATTTGTATAGCGCAAAATCATAATATACATTATCTCAAGGCACTTTCATAGAAGGTCAAGACCTTAAAATCGTATTAATATAGAGAAACTAGGGTAGAGAGGGTAGATAGGTGTTTTAATGGTGTTTGCTAAAATGTTTTATATGTTTATAAATGTGTTTATATGGAGCTTTACTACAACAACACAAAGTGTAACAATGGAAGTTGGTAAATGTACATTTGTTGTGTAGATACAAAGGATGCAGCGTTATTTGGATTTTCTGGTGATAGCTGGACACTATTTGGCAGCACTCTTACTTTTGCCACTCAACCTCAGTATAATGCTTTGGGTTACCTGTGGCCTTGATAGGATAAAAGCCGTCTGACTGGGTTCATTAAGGCTGAAGAGTAAGCGAGAAATAAACGTCAAACTTTAGTTTAGTCTTGTCTTCTTCTGCTTTCATGAAGCGGCCTCAACCAGAAAACACTGCCCCCAACTGCCACAAAGGTCATTATTTCTCCCCTGTTCGTTTGTTGGTTGGTGTGTTTGTGAACAAGATTACACTAAACCTACTGGATGGGTTTTCATGAAGTTTGGTGGATAGATGCACAATGGGTCAGGGAAGATCCCATTAAAATTGGGCTGTGGTTCCAGATCAAAAGGCTGATCCAGGAATTTGTCCTATTTTTATAATTTTTTTTACTATCTTTTACATTATGAGATTTATAGAAAAAAATAGCCAAGGATCGAGGGAAATTTGGTGCAGCTTTAATTAATTCAAGAGGACTGTTGGCGGGGGTGCAGTGCTCCACTGAGTGTCATTCCACTCTATTGTATTTGAATGAGAACAGATTTTCCACCATATGAAAATAGGTCGGCTCTACTGTCATTTATTTCATGCCAATAACAATATTCTATATTTGCCAGTGTTATATTGATACCTGACACTGGTGCAGCATTGTATTTGATGTCAGTGTTGCCCAGCAGTGTCGTCTACATCTGAGGAATAACTTGATAAACAGCAGCACAGTGCGACTCCCACGTATCACTTTCAGAGCACCAGCATGTTGGTGGCTCTGCAGAGTGCGAGCAGCTCTCATGAATCGGAGAGACAATACCTCAGAGTTCCTGCGTGCAACAGATATGCTGCTAGACGCTGAATGTCATCCGCCCCTGTCGTCATGGAAATTGAGTGAGCCTGTGACTCACATAGCAACAAGGACCTTTCGCCTGGATGTATGCTTAAGCTTTGGATTCTGATTGGACTTTACTAATTCTGCCTCATGTCTCCTTTCCAGATGCAGACTGATTACATAAGGTCTATACGTTCAGATAGAAGCTCATATCATATAATATGGACATCTGTAATAGTGACATGGTTACTGTGAGGCGGAGATAGTGAATTTCCAATGGAAATCATTACTGGGCATTGATAAAGCTCTAAAAGTGGTGACAAAGTGCTATTTTATGGCCTCCGCTATTTGTATTAGTCTTTCACAAACAGTGGAAAAGACAGAATAGTGTGGTTACTGCAAGTAACAGCAAACACCATTTTGCTGTCACTAATTGGGATATTCTCCACCATGCTTGCATAACTGTGATAGTGTGCGTTAAATATGTGGTGGGTTATGCATTAGGGGGATATAAATGCTGCATAAACACACACAGTGTGAACCTATGTTGTAAGACTAATGTTTAGATATCCTCTTGTATATTTTTATGTCTGTCTCTGTCTTTAATGCTCGTCTTCACAAATGCATAACGATTAAATAATGAAAATATCGGGTTTGATTTCATGAACAAAAACTCAAAAAACTGGAATGGCACTCCCAAAAAATAATTTCTAAATATGTTCCAATTAATTTACCAATTAATCGACTTATCATTGCATTGTTGTTTATAATATTGCAAGTAAAATAGCACAATATGACAACATAAATAACATAAGACAAAAGATATTAAAATGAGCATCATGGTGTCATTTTATGCAACTTTCAATTGAAATGATTTTTTTACAAACATTTACCAAATGTGGTAAATGAGCTTCTGTTAAGCTGTGGATCATCAGACCTCAGACACAATCACAAGACAATATGTGGGGCTCATCATCGCCATGGTTTCCACACACACACACACACACTCACGCACAAATTGCTAATCAAATGCCACCATTCCACTACGACTGCAGTATTTCTGCTGGAACTGGGAGGACATGTTGCAATGGTAGAAAATGACTATTTGGTCCATGTGATTGAAAATTGTAGGTAATTTCCCCTTCAAGGATAAATGTGAGGGTTTATTAGAAAAATAAATATTAGACAAAACATGGCCAGCAGAGAGCGCTATACACCAGTATACCAAAGGATTGTTTATATATCTCTGAAAGGAGGGATTCTAGGAATTTTATATAACTGTAATTTGCTAAGTGAGTGCTGATGTTCTTTTCAAAATAAGAATGACATCTCAGGGTTCATTGGATATTCTGACATAGGCAGCAAAACACGGAAATAAAAGGCCAGTGTGTATGAACAGATGTATTTTTCTAATTCAGTTCAAAATGTAAAGGTTTAGTATCTGAGTGTGTAAGACAGTAAGAAGGATGCATTCAATAAATGAGAGGAGAATGTTTGCTGTGAAATAAGCAACTAACATAAACATAAAAGCATTAAAAAGTACATTTTATAAAACTTGGAGAAAATAAATAGTTAACTAGTTGCATGTTTTCCTTTCAACCTCATTGTTTTGTTCTCCATCACAGCTCTCATCAGCATCATTTCCAGCAGCAACCGCTATTTCAGGGAGTAATCTCTAAAAAAACATTGTATGTCACCTGCACAGCATCAGGCAGCAGATAAAGTTAGAAACTATGGACATGGTGGAGCATTCAGTAGCTTTAAAACCAGACTGTCCTCGAGAGTTGACTCAAATCAAAACTAGAGATAAAACAAGAGAAGAAACTTGTACTTGTGTAGATTTGTGGCCAGAAATAAATCTGTAAATGAATATTTTAGCCTTTTGTTAAATGTTAAAATGTGTTTATATCAACTTTCTATATCTGCATCTCAGGGGGGAAAAACTTTGTGTTACACTTAATCTGAGTTTTTGAAATTGTCAATATTTGGGAATGTGGTGTTTTTATTCCTAAATAAATTTACTTCAACAATACAGGTCCAAGTAGTGTCACAGTGTTGTTTCTGCTGTGTGCTCTTTGCAGAAGACTACCTGTTCCAACCACATTAATAATAATATTTAAGATACTACTACTAATAATAACCATAATAATATTCTTAATTTCTCTAGTTCTTTTCAAAAAATGTTTTACAATGTGCTTCACAAAATAAAAGATAAGTGTAAAGTTAATCACAGGAAGGCCACATTACACTCAGCAATGCCATTAAAAAACAAGTAAAAGAACAACATACAAACAATAATAGAACAACATTAAAAACAATTAAAATTAAATAATAAGAAATTACAACAACACTAGTCAAAGGAGGGGTGGGTGGAGGGTTGCTGACGGGGGCTTTAACACCCCAGGGGCACTGGAGTTATGATTACCTGGCTTAATTAACCCATCATTACACTCATACTTACTAGCATGTGTACATGTTTTAAGCCTAACCTTCACACTAATAGATACTCTTAGAATCACTAAATGAATGCACACTGATTTTATGCTATTAGTGATTACCCTCAGACATTTCTCATGTAAGTCTAAATGAGACTTTCCTTGCAGGGTGTCATGTCAGTGGAAACGGGCCTGGAAAAGCCAATAAAGGCATTCCTCAAGCAGAGGCAAGGCAGTCAGCAGCCCACTATGTTCCACCTGGGTGTCAATGAGGAGCATGCAGAGGTTGCAGCGGTAAACCATCATCCTGCCACATCCTGCCCCTCCTCCATGTTTCCATCGACATGGCCGCAGCAGTAGAACGAGCAGAGACACAGCCTAGCCTCGTGGAAATCGAGGATCCAAGAGATCAAAAGATTAGACACCAGAGGGGGAAGTTATGGAAGTGGACGTACACTCTATAAAGATGTGGATTCCACACAGAGACACGAGGCCTCTGACTCTCAGCAGGGATCCTGAAAGAGTCAACAGACTTTAGGTAACTGATGTGACCTGTCAAGATGATTTAACCCACACAAAACACACATAAACCAAAGTACATACCCACAGGCTGAGGTGCAACATATCATTTGTGTCTGGAGACGTAGTGAACTTGACAGATCAGTAAATTAAACAACCATTAAAGCACATGATGTTGGGGCTGAGCTGAAGAAGAAATCTGTGGTTACGTTTACTTTTATTTGAGCGATTCACAATAATGAGGGTGAATGCAGCTCCCAAATAAAATGGTGTCTATATTCGTCATCTCATTTTTCTTCTCAATGCAAAACTGGGAGCTGGATGGAGTGGTAATGTGTGCGGCCTAACACTGACCTCGAGTGGACATAATCATAAAACACAATATACTGTAGTACATCAAAATGTGTGGTTAAAACTCCACATCCACATTTTATAGCCCCCAGTTCTAAGTGAGCATGACCTCTGTACAGCTCCTCTTCATCAATACGCACTGAGTCCAGACTGTGTGTGGCAGCATACACATCAACCACTTCTCTACCAATACAGGATGAGGACGAATCTTCATCTATCTGGCAAAAAAATATGAATGATGAAATTGTGGAATAATCCACACGTGAGCCCAGAGATTCTGATGTGACTGTGAAGCTGGAGAATCCGGCCTGAAGAGAAGAAATGCTGGGAGAGAAAAGAGTCTTCTCACATTATCTTATGCAGCAGGTCATAAAACAGAAATAATTCCATTTTCTTTAAACTTTAAAATCTGATTTAATTGTTTTTTTGAAATTATAAACCACACGCTTTCAAAGTGACCTATTGCACACATCTCCAAATGATGCTGCAAAAGTGGTTAAAGTTACACATCTGTGAGTCACAAATACACACCCATGTAGTTTGAGAGTAGTTATATTTCGACTATATTTATCTCTGATTTATGGTGAAGGTGAAACCAAAACAATTTGCCCTGTGTTAAATAAGGCACCTTTATAAGGGAGATATTTAAAGGGATATACCATCAATTCTGTGAAAGCAGATCACATCTTCTATAAAATGGACTTTTAAAATCTGAGAGAATAACACTTGATGATATCCTCAGGAATAAATCATTACACATTTATGACAGACAGCCTGCCTTACAAACAGGGGTTGGTGGAGTATAAAAGAAATGGTTGTCATGGAGGTTCCAACAACAGATACAACTGAGTTGCATTGTGGAATATGCAAATTCAAGGATTCTGCATTTTCATATCTGTTTTTGAGAATCATGTGACCCTTTGAAGGAAACAGGTGACACTCAACGGATGGTGCAGGAGGTAGAGCAGGTCAACCATGAACTGGGAAATAACCACTGGTTCTATTCCCACTTCTGAGACAAAAACCCTAATTTGTGTGTGAGGAATGTCAATGGTTTATATTTTCTAGTCTTGATGACCAATGAAATCACTTTACAGTACAGTTTGCCATTCACCCATTCATACAGTGCATCTATTAGCAGCACTTTTTTGTTCAATGAGGGGCAGTTCGGGTTCAGCATCTTGCTCAGGGACACTTCAGCAGGGTTAAACGACTTTCTGGTTGGAGGAGGACCGCTTTACTCCTCAGCCACAGCCGCCTATAGATAGAGTGTGATAGAGAAGGTGCTGGTCCTGGATGCACTGTATGAACGTGTGAATGAGTGAATGGCAAAACTGTACTGTAAAGCACTTTGAGTGGTCATCTAGAAAAGTGCTTTATATTTACCATTTTGATGCACAGAGTTTCATGCTCAGGTTAAATTATTACATTACACAACAGATAATTAGCAGCATTTTGTGATTGTATCAATAAAAACAACCAGCTCTGTTTATTGCCAGCACCCCCCACGTTGTAAACTAACCCACTGAAATCTACTGCATGACTCTAAATATAGCTGTGAGATCCCTGTGCTGTACGTCTGTCTACATTAAACAGATAACAGGAGCCGCTGCACCCTCAGCTTGAATTGACACCCATGGAGGCTGAGGTATGTCCACCATGACTCTTCGCTGAGCTATTTCTGTCCCTCTGCCTTCATGCCAAACCGGCCTCCACTCTCTCCACCGCCTTGCCGAGAATACTTCTCTAATTGAGTTGGCTCCTGGTCACATGTGCTCTGATCCCATTGCAGCCCCTCCCTCACGGCGTCTGTCTCCGCCACCAGGGAACTGGGGCAATGAATTCCAGTCCCTGCTCTGAAATCATGCTTCCTGTATTCTTCTGATTGAGACCAATAGCAACAGAGAGTTGGGAGTCGCTGCAGCGTGAGCACTTCATCAGGACCTTGTCCCCCTCCACGATTTGGCAGAATTATTATATTGTTATTATAACTATATTTTTTATGAAACCCATTGATATAGAAAGCTATGATTGATAGCAACAACTGCACAACTGAAGCAAGACTGAATTAGAGTTTTATTTTTGGGGCCCTGCAATTTTATGCATCGCTACGATCAGAAACACTTTGTATGAGGAGGCTCAGGACTTACCTTACGCAAACTCTGTTGTTCACTCTAAGACTGGGATATAAATGACTGAGTCACTTTATTGGTGAGAAGGAAATAAACATATTGATTAATGTAAATAAATAAACAAACAGTAAACTATAGATTTAACTTGCCCTGGGTCTCAAAGACTGGACCGATTTTTCTTCATGCCCACTGAGCTTTTTAACATGTTTTGTGTCACTGTTTGCACAAGGAAACATTAGCAGTTGGAAACATATTTGTTATGTAAAATAGGCAAATCTCTCTCAATAAGGCCTCCAAATGAAATGAAATGACCGAAGCTATATTTTACTATAGCAACAAGCTAATTATGGAAGCCATATGGTCCAGTGTGTCGAATACATTTCAGTGCAGAACAGCATTGCAGACTTCACTGCAGCTCTGCAGCGACAGTAAAGGTGCATAAATGAAAAATCAGATATGAAAAATTAATGGTTGAAAAAGTGTGTACTAATATTAAATGATTACTTAATATTTTTGGGAAATATCATCATGTTCCACAATGCTGTGTTCCAACAAAAGGCTGAATTGGAATCATTATAAAATAGCTATGAAATATTTTTTGTGTTTTGTGGCAGTTTGCCCAAGGAAATATATTTGTCATGCAAAATATGTTAATCTCTCTTCACAAGGCCTCCAAATTAAAGGTTCAGTGTGTAGAATTTAGTGACAACTAGTGGTGAAGTTTCATGTTGCAGCTGAACACCCCTCACCTCACCCTCCTCTTCCAAACACGAGAGAGAACCTGTGGTAGCTTCAGTTGTCATAAAAACTCAAGAGGTGTTAAGTTTGTCCAGTCTGGGCTACTGTAAAAAACACGGCATAGAGAGGACCCCCTCCAGATGTAAATATAAAGTATTAACATATAAAGGGCCCATTCAATTTTGATGAAACACTCTAGTGAAAACGTCACAAGGATTATTTTATATTCAATTTCTGCCAATAGAGCCCTTTCACGTGCAGGTGCATTGTAGAAAATTAGATTTGAAAATCTTTGAACAAGTGTGGACTCATTTGAATTTTCATTATTTCCCAAAACACTGTGTTCTGACAAGAGCCCGAGCAGAAGGGTGTGTTGGTGCTCGACCGTCTTACTCCCTGTGGTGGAAGTTCGTGCCACTGTGCAAACTCTGCCCAGTTCTCCCCACAGCCCCATGTGAAATGTGACACAACCCTGGGTCCTTTAAGGCATGCCTTCTCTGTCTGTGTGCACTACATTGTGGCGTGTGAGTGTATATGCTATTTTTTTGTGTGGGTGCTGGGTGGTGGTCAGGCCTCCGTTTTCACCAGGACGTCTGCAGCTGCTGTCCACTGGTATGTGAGTGGGAGCGTCCCAGTGGCGATACAGAAGTTCAGACTCGAACTGAGGTGGCTGCGAGCAGTTTGATCCAGGAAGGTTCACTCTCACTCTCTCTCTCTCTCTCTACGGCCCGTCCAGGACCTGCAGCCCGACCATGGCGGATCAGTACCAGTACAACGCCACCGAGGAGAAGATCGTGAAGGACAGCCACACCAAGGAGATCGACCTCATCAACAGAGACCCCAAGCAGATCAATGAGGATGTAGTCAAGGTTTGTGCAGCATGCAGACAACACCCTGTCACAGTGAGGATCAAGAATGTGACCCCTGTGATGTCATGTGTGGAGAAAATGCAGTAAATAGTTTATCGGCACAAAAACAAGAGAGCAGGTTATTATATTGTCTGGAAAAGCCCTGAAATAGATCGAGAGCTATTCCTGTTGCCTCTGCGGGACATAGGGGTTATTTTGGGAATGAGGTAGAAGAGTATGACACTGATCCTCTGTGACACCATGTTTTATTTAGGTTTGACAACTGTTTATGCTGTGATTGTTGCTATGACACCACCGCAAACAGTTTCTGTAAGGAGGAGGCTGAACATACTGTACATTAGATTAGATCGTGTTTGAATGAAAGTTTTTCGTTTTTACAGCTGAATTTGGAATGATTTAGTGATGTGGTCGTATTTGTCTTCAGCCATTAAGACGCGAATATTACACATTTAATCTGGAAGGTTTGTTAACATTAACCAGTGACAGATCTGGTGATATTTTCTTTTTCTTTGCTATACCCTCAAAACAGAGATTGGCTATATCGATAAAATAAGTCCCCTTAATTAGATGAGCAATCCAATTTAACATCTTCGTGCCAGTTCTCTTGCTGAATTTCTACTGAACACAAACTGTGCTTGTGCAGAATTTTGACTCTACAAATCCTCCCAGACCTCACAGAGAAAAATATAAAATAGGAAAATACACATCCAGCCATTTATTCAGAGGATGATCTTAGGCAACAGTGAGTTGTTCCTACTGCTTCTGATCCTATCCAGTGGATCTGGACAGAATGTAAATAAGGTTTGAGATGTGTGGGGTGTCTGCCTGTCAAGATTACTGACAAGTTGGTTCACGCATGTACAGACACCTCAAAACAGATTGGACCACTGTACAGTTGCTTTCATGCATTTTACATGAAAGCATCCGTCAGTAAAATGTTTGGACCCAGCTGTAAAAATCAAGTCTACATCACAACAGATAAAATGGATTTTCTGCATACACACACTTGACATTGACATGTGGAGCCCACAGAGGTCTGGTGGAGGGAGATGTTTGAAATTATTTGATGTGCATTAATGAAAGCCTCTCTTAAATTTCTTATCAGGTGGAGTTTGAGGATGTGATTGCAGAGCCTGATGGAACACACAGCCTGGACGGAGTGTGGAAGCTCAGCTACACCACTTTCACTGTGTCCAAATACTGGTGTTACCGCATCCTGTCCGCCATCTTCGGCATCCCTGTGGCTCTGCTCTGGGGCTTCCTGTTCGCCTGCATCTCCTTCTGCCACATCTGGGCTGTGGTTCCGTGCATCAAGAGCTGCCTGATTGAGTCACAGTGCATTAGCCGCATCTACTCCCTCTGCATCCAGACCTTCTGCGATCCCTTCTTCGAGGCCCTGGGCAAGATCTTCAGCAGTGTGCGGGTGGCGCTGCGCAAAGAAGTCTAAAGAACTCTACGCAGTAGTGTTTATAGTATGACCGGATGAAGTCCGGTATCTTTTTATACACCAGAAGATAAATCCTGGCATCTTGCTTACTCCCTGATTCTCCTCCTGCAGTTCTCTTAACACGCTGCTCTCCACCCTCCCATCATCAAGCCCTCGGCTCTCAGTCCTGACATGCCTGGTGTGCCTTTTGCCACCAGAAGCTCTGCGACAGCTGCAGCAGGCAGCATGGTTCTGTGACAGCTCTGGCAGTCCTGGAGGGCTCTGTGCTCCTCACTGTGGGAGGAGAGGGCCGTTGGCCTTTACAGGAGGATCTGTCTGCTCTCACTTATTCGTATGACAAAAAAGCTCAGATTTCTCATTCACAACAAATGTAATAAACTCCCGACACTGCTGCACCTCTGGATGATGCTGCCTGTATGCATGGCACATTTGGTTGTATTGAAAGTTATATGTGTGTTGCTGTGTCCAGTGTGTTTGACCTAATATTGACTGAGTTGAATTTGACACTTTCCTGTCTGTACACTTAACCTTATTTTAAAAAAACGCTAACAGAATGAAAGGAAGTGAAATGTTTTCTGAATGTCTTTGTTCAATATTGTCTGATTTCTCCATGTATTAAAATATATATATATATTCTGATATATTTCCCTCTTAATTTGTGAGAAATCCACAGTAACTAAGACATTTTCTCAAAGTGTGATGGGTGGGATATTAAATCTACGTGTTTGTACATTTCTGTATGTGTATATGATGATTTAAAAGTAAAGTATATTAACTTTGTTGCTATCGTTTACCTACAGTGTATAGAGTAAAAATATGCATTGGCTGGAACTTAGACACCTTACAGAAGTGTCCTTATAATAAGTCCATTGTACCATGGCCTCAGTGTTTGATTGTATGTGTATCATTTCAACTCTTTTCAAAAGGTTTGCAACAACTATTCTTTATGTTCACCGACATATTACTTCAGTCATCCTGGAGGCACTAATATGTGAACTGTGACCCATTAGAGCAGGAGTGTTTATCTCAAGTGGGCCAGAGCAGTAAAACCAACAACTCTACCAAATGTTTCCCCTTTATAGAGCACAGAGCAAAACACACAGCTTGAGATGTGAGAGGAAAAATAAGTACAATTTCAACAGGTTTGCATGTTTAGAGAACTGTCAGAGAACTGATCAGTGAAAGTCTCTGAAGAAGCATTTTACATGAAGTGCTTGACTTAATGTCACATCTTAACCTTTACAAGTACAACAATGTGTCGAAAGGAAACAATATTCTGCATGTCTTTCCGCTTTCAGTCAGTCTGCCATCTTCTGTGTTCTCTGACAACACTTCGAAATATCATTGGCTCTTGTGGTGTCTGTCATGGGCACCAACTCCAGCAACTCCTCAATGATAGTCTTGAGCATCATCGACACCACAAACATGTCTGGCTATTTTAACAATGTCTGTGCTTGTCTGAGTTCGTCAAAATCCTTGTCAGCCACAGAGTTTCTTTTGTTGGCAAAGTCCTGTCACTTGTCCCGGCTCAAACTGATGACATTTTATTCCAAACTGCAGAACCCATTTCCTCAGACGTCCCAACCACCCACGTCCATGTGAGTTGTGGCACTGTTCATCATGATCAGTCTCAAAGTTGTGTTGAATATTTTTTTTTCCTTGAGCCACAGAAGGTGCTGTGAACAAATCAAGCTCACTCTCCTCACGTGGTCCTCATGAACATCAGCTTTCACAGTGTCTCACTTATCTTTATGTGTTATTATTATAGGACCTGCCGCTCTCAATTGGACAAAGTGACACCCGGTGGACAAAACAGGAACACCGGTGCTTTTTATTTAAAAAAAAGGATCTTTCATCGCATCTCTTTAAACTTAGCACAGTCGTCCTATGGGCTGGATTAGACCTGCAGCCCACATGTTTGACAACCCTGCACTAGAGGTGGCTGTTGTATGGAGTGATTAATTCGCCAGGTAAAGTGGTCAATGTGGTCTTTAATTTTAGCAGAACAAGGGCAATGATCATCAGATCACTCTCCATAGACCACATATTTTATAAAAAAAAGAATCCTACACATGCACATTTATTACATTTTTACCACCATATATATGATACATGCAGGCAGGAATTATTTGTTTCATCCTCAAGTAGAAGCTGTTATATTCAACAGCAATTTACTTTAGTTATTTCTTATTCCTTCTTTTTAAACTACTACAGAGAGACATGAAATATATAGAGTGAACTAAATCACACAGATCTAAAGGTTTTTACATGCATTTTCTTTCCCCCTCCTGCAAATGATTAATTTAATGTGTGCAATTACACATAATGCTCAAAAGACTATTTATAATGCACCAGTTGTTGGCATCTGACTTTTAATTTTTGGTCATTAAATTGATAGAGAAAAGTCTGAGTTGACAAAGATATGTGTGAAATAATTTTTTCTCTCATAATATTTTCTAATGAAAGAAGCTCAGTGTTATACAAGAAGTACATTTCTCCTAAACAGGAATATCTAAAAGTAGAGTAAAATATTCCTCATAATAATTATAATGACATTAATCCATCTTGTAATCCTCATAAATCATAAGATTAAAGCTAAATCTTTGCAAAAATAATCCAGTTGAATATTCCTACACTATCTGCCCTACTGTAGCCCTTTCTGGTAGAAGACATTTGAAATAAGTCGAACATTATGAATTTCACAAAGAAATAATTTATTACAGCATTTAATTGTTCAGTTTTTGTTTTAATCAAGCCACTTCTCACTGTTATCAATGATTACTGATGTGCTTAGTGGATCACGTCCTTGCGAGCTCATATTCTTGAAACATTTACAACGAATTATAAAACAACTGACAGAACAACAGACTCAGACTTAATTACTTTTGCAATGAGAAACGCTATAGAGTGAATTCATGGCCATGGTTTACTTTTATTGTCATGTCCTGCAGGATGATACTTCATGTCATGCAACAACTGTGACCTGAGAAAAACCTCCAGAAACATGCAGGTCACATGTCTGAACTGCACAGCCTCCAGACCCAGTAATGTGTTTTGGGACCGAGGCCGAAAGGGATGTTCAAAGTTTCAATGTGCTGCCAAAAAAGGTCCAGGAACTCGGTGACGTCCTAAATTCAGACAAACATCCCTCTGGAAATGTTCCAGGAACCTTGCCAAGGATTTTTTTAGTCTGTGTCGGAGGCAGAAGGACTTGTAATCTGCATCAGGCCAGTGAAAATTATAACGTCATCAGTGTATTTTTTTGCTGCTTTCACTCTTTTTTTTTTTACTTTTTAAAAATCTTTACCAGTGACAGCTAAAACATCTCACATCAAACAGAAGCTCAAGTAACAGCTTACACGTAAGCAACCCATCGCAAAGTGAACAACACTGTACACAATATTTAATATTTAATACACATTTAAATATAGGTGACTGATTTCATTATAACACAGATAAACAGAATCTGTAAGCTTTGCTGGTGATAACAACTGAATCAATTATGTAGTTGCTCAAGGCTGACAGGGCTTTAAGTATCATTCAATCTTATTTTTTCTTTCTTTTTTAATATATTTTTTTCACTCTCTGCCCTGTAAATATGTAAATATATACTGTACATCTAAAAAAGAAAAGTAAAAACATACATCAAAAGATTGAGTGGACTGCTCAGCTGGGTCCATGATTATCTTGAAAGTTTTTATTTACAAAATATTGCCCCTAAATTATAGTTTTTTCGACTTTTTTAAATTTTATTTTCACTATGTCCTGTATATTAATGTACATGGACGATTTTAGAGCGTAGTTGTTATTACGTTTTTGGGCTTTGAACAGCAACCTTAAGGGAAAGAGATATCTGCAGGAGTCAAACTGATGGATTTTTTTGGGGGGCGACAGCATGGGGTTAAAGGCCAAGAGGGCAGCTTGAGGGAGGGGATGGGGGATCAGTGCTTATGTGCTAGAAGTCTTTGTGATGCTCCTCTGACTGCTGGTGCTCTTGATGACAAATGTTGAGGAGTTGCTCTTGTGACTGGAGTCAAAGTCGGGCTCACAGCGGCACTGGGACGACTTGAGGTAGCGAGTGGAACAGCACAGAAAGTTCTGCCTAAGATCCTGGAACAGGTGTCCGGCGAAGCACATGTAGATCCAGGGGTTACAGCAGCTGTTGAGGCTGGCCAGCAGCATGGAGATGATGAAGGGCATGGCTGCAGAGAGAGAGGAGAGTTACTTTTCTGTGACAGCAAAAATTAAAGGATATGAACAATGCCATTTTATGCATCGGGAGCCAGAGTCTGCCCAGTAATGATCGGAGGATGAAGCCGCAGCAGCAAGGTCAATATACACGCTTAAAATATGATAAGAACTACAGAAATCTTTGAAAAAAAGCATTTGCACTTTGACTTTTTTGTCTGTCCCATCTCCCATCCATTAACATGGATGATGCAGGATTTAGGACCTATAATGGTGCCAGCCACCATGTGGCAATTGAGATGCTTGGGCTTCACTTTTAGGCAGCAGTCATGTCGTCCATCTTTATACACAGTCTATGCAAGAAGTAATGATATTAGTGGCTAAATGTTTATCTACTTTTTTTATTTACAATTTTTTCATGTCATTGACGAATCACACCAACTTTGATGATCCCCCATTTTCTTCTCATAAAATACTAGTGTCCATTTTTCCAATCATCCAGAAATGTACGATTTAAGACCAAATACTTAAAAAGGTAAACTATGTCTGCCACTTGTAAATCAATTAGCAACTCAATTATAGCATGCTAACACACTGTACTAAGATGGAGAACATGGTTAGCATCACCTGCAGCATGTTAGATGCTAGCATGGCTGTATAATTGTCTTATTTAATTTAACCCATTTGTCATTTTCTTTATTTCAGTTACACGTTTCAGGATCCTCAGTCCCAAGAGGCACTTTCAGTCATTTTAAAGGTGGTAAAAATAGATCAGACTGGCAACGTCATAGCCTTAGATCTTTGAGGAAGGAGAGAACCTAATAAAACTTGCAGCACAATAATTAGTTGATATAAGTTATTGAATTGAAATGGTGAACTGTTAAAACAATCAATACACTACTGACTTTGTGAAACAAAGAACGATACAAGCAGAAATGTTCCTCGCACACTGATGGAAGGACATTACACTGGAAGGACATTAAAGTCACACACGTGATTAATAAGAACTCTTCATCAGCTATTAAGGATTTAATTTATGAGAGTAAAACATGAACTTAACTGAGTGTTGATCATTCAATAACCCTTCTATTGCAGTTTTATTGGTTTAATAATCTGCTTTTGTGAACTACATCCAAATGTTTCAGATGAGCAAATGAAACTGAGAGAAGGATGTGTTAAATACTGACCAAACATTCAGATCTGAGTAATAGAACCATTTATGAAATGTACATTAAAAAACAATGAGTGAATTGATACAAAGGTTCAGCCACACATCAGTCAGCTTCAACTGACATCAAGAGAATCATACAACTCAATGCAAAAGACCAATCAGTGGTTATCAAGCATCAGGCTGGATGAGAGTGCAGCCTGGACCCAATTTGAATAACGGGGAATTATCATGAAACGTCTTTACGGAATTCACTCACAATGTCTTTCAAAAGGGAACGATAAATCATACAGCGAATGGAGAGGCAGAATATAATCATTCTCTGGGTGGTGCATCTGTCTGCCTGTCAGAGCTGATACAGGCCAGACCAAAAGACTTCATTAATGAGTTAGACCACCAAATGCTGATTCTCCTTCCCTGGGGCTGAAAAAGCATCAGCGGCGATTGAATTTAGGCGATATTTATAAGTGAAACTTCTGATACAGCTCTACTGACGTTCCAGGTTTGTTTTTCTTGTTGCTTTAAGACAAATAGAAAATAACCTTTAGAAAAATAACACTTTGCCATTTAACTGTGGTCTTTGTGTCATTGAGCACATAATGCAAATCAATACTATGGTCTGAGTGTGAGTCAGTGTCCAAAAGCACCATGCCTGAGCCTGCATGGTGGGGAACAGGTTTGTTTTCACAGATTTTTGGGGGCTTTGTTTGTGTCTAAGCCAGAGTTTAACCTTCAAGTGTTTTCTGTCCTTAACATAATGAAATCTGTCTGTTTGTTAACTGGGAAATCACAGACATCCCTGTTTGCCCTCACAAAGCTTCAAAGAATGAATATTTAGCGACCTGCCTCTGATGTTTTTAAAGGTCGTAGTGATGAGCTTGATGGGCTGGTGAACTTCCAGTCTTTGAAAGGTCCTGGCTCTTTCACAATGGATCAAACTGGTGAAAAGTCAGATATCTCGGCTGTTTTGAAGGAACTTGGAGTTATGGTGCAATTTGACTCTATTCATGCATTTTAAAATATTACACTGATTGGTCTGATGATATTTATCTAAGGGAGAAAAGTCCAAAGGATTTGTGCGCTATAACGGTGATCCAATTTTGGTTATCTTTTTGTAAAATACTTTGAGGAAATACATTTACTGCCTTTGCCAGATGAGGAGATTGATGCCAATCATCTGTAGTGTAAATATGATGCTACAGGCAATTGTCAGTTGAAATATCCTAGCATAAAGGTTGGTAGTCTGGCTAGCTAGGCTTTATAAGAAATACCCTAAAGGCAGACTTGTGATATTATGATTAAGAGGCAAAAAATATGTTTTGTGAGGCAACTGTGACCTGGACCACCCATATCTAATCAGGTCATCCTTGAGGTATAAGTGAATGTAATGAAACTCCCTATAGCTGCTCATGATAAATCACTTTCACAAGAACATGAGGTCATATGGGACCTTGACTTTTGACCTTCTATCACCAATACCATTTAAGTTCATATTTGTGGGCAAGCAAACATTAGTGCCAAATTGCCTCAAGGTATTCTTGAGATATATAAAATTGTGTTTTGTAAGGTATTTGCCTTTGAGCAACAAAATCTGGTCAGTTAGTAGTTTCATCAAACTGAATGCTTGTACCAAATTTAAAGAAATTCCCTCAAGGCATTGTTGAGAAAATCATGTTAATAAGATTTGCACGAGCTGTGATGATGGGTTGTACCTCTGGGCACTGTCAGTGTCGTGGAGGCATAAGGATCAATTGTTTTACTGAGGGTAAACTGCTGGAACTTAAAACAAATTAAAAATGTTGGCTGTAGCTACAGATGTGAGAGTTTTATTTTCTTCAATTTTCTCATTCAACCCCCAGTAGAAGGTGAAAAAGTCAAACTATGAACTTGAATATTTACATCTGACTGTTTATTGTTTCAGGTGCTGGGACATTTCGGACATTTGCACTTTACATGCGCCTGTGGAGAAAGTGTAGGTGTCTGCAATAAATAAGAAACTGGTGCATTTATATACTGCCTCTTCTAGCAGTGGCCTTTTAAAGACAGCCACAAGTTGAAGAAACAGCTTGACTGATGCTGAAAATGGTGCTGAATATGTCTCTAATGGGTGAATCTCGCAGGAAAGCATGGCAATAACATCCCCCGATGGTGCCAATCCCTCAGACACAGACTCAAAGAATCGACTTTCTGCAGCATTAAAAAAAATATAAATACGTGAAAAATCAATGTTCATAACTCTAGTACTCTGACACTTCAGATGTTTGGGGCTATTTATGTCTCACTAAATATATATTATGGATATATTCCATGGTTAAATCAGGAAGAAGGAAGTCTGTAGGTATATGGGCAATAAGCATTAATAATTTGTTTTAATGAGCTATGTGGTCCTGATTGATTGCTCATCGGTCACTGCTGTACAAAACGTTTTGAAGGCACAGCCTGATTTTAGTCAACCCCTAAAACCCAAGAGAGACTAAAAACTCCTTAAAAACTACAATCACAGAATCTAAGATCATGTTTTTTTTAACGGTTTATGGTTCATTAATGTTAAAAAATGCAATGTTTAGTTGTCTGAAGAGTTGTCTGAGCTTGCTGAGTAGAGTATGACTCTAATGGCCACTTTATCTGCATATACACAGGTGACACTCCAGTTTATCTTTTGTACACAAATACAGGCACGTGTCATTGCCAATCCTGGCCTCTCTGAGTGCTGCATGTTCACGTGGAGAGAGGCCATCAGACATCTGCACCGATCCAGGCTCTGCAGCACAAAGGGATATCATTACTGTCTTTCCCATTCGCAGACTGAAGCCACATCTGCTGCTATTTTCTGACTACATCGACTTTGAATGTTGAATGCTGCAGAATCAGAACTGACTGCTGTCATTTCCTCAGTGCTTCCAGCCTCATGCCTCCTCAGAGTTGAAGAATTACCTCTCAGTGTATTATACTTTTTCCTCAAAAGTGGAAATGACTGGTGCGAACGCTTGAGGAGAATGACAACTAAGCACATGCAGTCAGCTGGAAACATTTGCAAAAACCTGCTGTGGCAGAAGAAAAGAACAAAAGTCTGTTTATTCCCTTTTCACCAAGATATTTCCTGACATTGTTTTAGCATCTGTGCTGTTTTGCTTTGTTTTAATTGGGTTTTATAAAATGTCTGAGGAACTACCATCTACCTACACCACTGTTAGTGATGGGAAGTTTTCTATTCAAGAGAATAAACAGACACCTCAAATGAAAAGCTCTAATCAGAGTTACCTTTTCAAGTAAAACAAAGCTCTTCCCAACAAACAGGCAAATGATATCTTAACTCTCAAATTAAACATGTCCTTATCACAACGTGGACTGTGCAAACACACCGTGAAGACGAATTGGAACATTAGTCTTCTCTTGTTATATGGGTGTGGCCATGGCAGAGTAGGTCGATAAATATAGGGAGCACATATAGATGGCCGCTTTGTGGCCTATTGTGGTAGATGTCAACGACACACTCCAACGTGCCTCACGGGCACAAATAAGAGTCGCTTGGCGCGTTGTGGCGCACACTGATTTGTTTAATGATTAGCCATCACTCAGTCTCTGCAGGATGGGGAAGGTCAGAGGAAATTTGCAAGTCATAGGATCATGTTTACAGTTTATGTACTTTCAATCGATGATGCGTTTTTCTTGGCACAGATCAGGTATATGAAGAATTTGACATAAATGAAAAACAGAATGTCTATAATGTTTTGCAGCTATGTTTCTCTATGTGAACCACAGACATTTGATCAATAGGTGGTGAGCTGACAGGGACTGATGATTTGTGTTTTTGAATGTTGTTGGATATTTATTTGAAATAGATAAATATCAGAAAACACTCAGATGTCACATTCAGGGGATCACAAGCAACAACAGAAGATGGATTCCACTCATTTTGTTTTTGTTCTCCTGTCATATACCTGCAGTGTATTCTCTGTCTCTGGCAGACAGTGTTTTATTTAACCCTATGTGCCTTTAAAAAAAATCTTCTGACTCTTCTGTGAAACTCCTGCGTGCGTCTGACCCATGAGAATTAGGAGGAAACAAAAAACACAGCTCAGCTTGTTTTTGTAGCCTCAGTTTTCTCTGATTGGATGGACAAGCTTTCGCATCCTTGTGCGTAAAGAGCACCAATGCGCAAAAGAAGAAGGATGAAACATACATTTTAAAATCTCCAAACTCGTCAATATTATCACAGAAGCTGGGTGTAAATGATGGGTTTGCAATTTGACAATATAGGACAAGATGGGGAATACCCAAGAGTCAAAAATATTACATATGATAATGGAACATCAGCCTTTACGCATTGGTGCGAACTTTATTAAACTTTACTCCTACCCTCACGAGGCGCATCTGGGTCCCACGCAGACCACATCTGGACAGAGAAGAAGGGGGTCCAGCAGACGATATAAGCCACGACGATTACAAAAGTCATTTTCACTGTGGTTATCTTTGCCTTGGAGATGAGCTTCACGCTGCTCACACGGGCCAGCGTGTTGCCTTTGGATGTTTTGGGCGTCAGGCTTATACACTGCTCCCGTCTGGTCTTCAGTTTGAAGTTTTGCCATATTTTGAAGCTTATCAAACCGTAGCAAATGCTGAGTATGGCCACGGGGATGATGTATATGGTCAGGCTGAACCATGTGATGTAAGCTTTGGCTCCCCACGGCTTCACGAAATCACCCCAGCAGTCGTAGACTCCTGATCCGGCCGAGCCGACCTCTCGCAGGGAGAAGATGAACATCTGCGGGACGCTGAACAGCAGGCTCAGGATCCAGGAGGATATGACATAGAAACGGTCTTTTCTCCTGTGCAAAGAACGGAGAGGCTGACAAATTGCCAGACACCGGTCTACAGACATCAAAACTAACATGTACGTGGACGCGAACATCCCGACAACCTGTAGGTATTTCACCAATCTGCACAAGGTGTCCGGTCCGTAGAAGCGAAAAGTGATGTCCCAGATAAGTTGAGGCAGAACTTGAAATATCGCCACAACTAGATCGGCGATGCTCAGGTGCTTCATGAAGTAGTACATGCGTGACTGGCTGTGCTTGGTGGTGTGGATGGCCAGCAGGACGCACAGGTTCCCCGCCAGCGCCAGGAACAGCACCAGGGCGAGCACGGTCACCTCCACCTTCGCCGCCTCCTCATTGCGCTTCAGAGGATTCGTCCTATTCAACCCGGTGGTGCCATTAAGGAGACTGGAGTTCTTCCACGACTCGTTAAACTGCCACAAGTCACTTTGGTTCGAGATACCTTCCATTGCCGCAGTGTGGTCCTTTATGCGTCAGGGCTGGACTGGCACCTGGAGCCAGGGTCTTGGGGTGAAGGTCTTCCTTGTGCAGGTGATAAGACGCAGGGTGAGATGTGCTGAGGCTCAAAAAAACACGTTCCTCAAGTGGTAAAAAAGAAGGAAAGAAGCGCTGTTTAGTTGAACCTCAGGCATCCCTGCTCTCCAGAAAGAAAAGACGCACGAGTCATCACAGAAAACGAGCAAATGTTTTCAAGAATCTTAATGGCATGAAGCGTTGGATAAAATGTGGGAGTCAAAATAAAGTGCACTTAAGGTTCATAAAACCTAAAACAAAAAAATAATCAGGGACTAAACTACTCGAGTATGACACATCATTGGTCAAAGGTAAATCTCCAAAATCACGGTCCGAGTAAATCCAAATAATTTACAGGATTATAGGTGAGAAAAATAAATGTTCAGCTTCAAAATGAAATCAGAAAGTCTAAAGGTAAAATATGAAAGTAAAAATCTTCAGAGGTTCAAACCCTCATCCTCATCCCTGGTAAGAATCGGAATGACCACTGCCACAGCTCACAAGTGCCTGTTGTAGGTTTTATCTGCCCCCAGTTCAGGAATAACACTGAACAGTATTACCATTCACAACCACTAGGTGACGACTCGAGCCATGCAACTTTTCCTGCCTCAGAGCTTCGACCCCTCCTTTCAAACAGGATCCCCCAGATGTGCTCTGTATCAGGGGTCTCTTTTGTAGGAGCTTCCAGTGTCATGAGGCAAGAATTCAGTTGTCAGACTCTGACATGGTTGTAGAAATTCAAATCTGTCCGCAGTGATGCTGGGGGAGATGACAGCGAAGCCTGTGACAAATAGCACAAGGTTTCAAAATCTGTGGAGAAAATGAGATTTTTTTTTCTCTAGAGACTCACAGAAGCTGTAGAGGGACTCTCACCTCAGCTGGTTTAGAACTTGTGGTTAAGAAGGTTCATGACCTCCAGAAAACAAGGAGAGAATAAATGAGTTTATATAAATAATGTGAAAAACACACAGAAAACAGTTTCTCTTCAGTTGGATGGTCAGTTTTACAACTTCAGGGGTACAAAAAATAGCTCAGAGGAAACAACTCTTTTCTAAACCAGGATTAAAAAGTCAATGCTCTAGATTGTGTGATGTTATCAAGGCAACGCCCACTGAAGCTGATCGAGTGATTGCAAAAGAGGACGTGTTTGTAGGCACATAAAGTATTTGAGCCACAAGCTTTTTCCAGAGAGACACAAAGAGTAGAGGTTAGACTGGATTCAGAAAACCAATACTAATGCACTGAGGATTCGAGCAAACTGTCCAAGATGCAAGAATAACATTTATTTTAGAGTTGATTCTGCTCTAATGCCACAATTAAGGGACATAAGTTTTTCTTGTTATTATCATGCATGTGCAGCATATTATACTGAAAAGATGCTGATCAAATTATGATGATCTTTCACCCTCCTATACGTGGGAAAATAACATACAACCATATGAAGCTGAAATTTTATTGGCAACTGCGTGCCATGCCCATGTTGATGCCCATCTGCTACATTCCAGTGATTCCTGTGAAACAACATTTCTTCCCTCTTCCCGTTCATGCTGCACAGGAATCCAGCAACTCGAATGACAACAATGTGTGTGTCATTGCTTAATTGATGACGCAAGAATTTTAACAACATGAAAAGTGTGACTCATGAAAACAGAGAGCGTAATGCAGAAACAATAAAGGAGCAGTGTGGAAAAAACACAATAGAAAGAGGATTATTAATCTTCATGAAAAACAACTGCATGTCAGGTCTGCTGCTTAAATTCAGTTTTAACGCCCTACAACTCAGAACTAATACACACCATAAAACAAGTTAAACCAAACACTTTCTACACAATGACCATTCGTAAGTACTGCAAGACTAAACACACTCATGTTGATGAAATTTAGGGAATGCTACAGTAGTTGGGAGTACTGACAAGTGGAATTTGTTGACAATTTGTTGTTGCTACTGTGAAGCTCTTCAAATTTCCAGCAACACTCAATTGCAAAAACCCGCTGGGAAAAGGCCTCTGGTCCTATCTGAGCCAGAGAGCCATTCCCCCTTCTTGTGGTTTAGAGTTTGGAAAACTGTAGTTCCACTGGAATTCCAAAGCAGTAACATGAAGACTGCTGATGATTTAGCACTGACTGGAAATAAAAAAGACAACGGGAAAATATTGGAAGATGATGGTACAATAAATCCAATCACTGAGCCCACTTTAGGTGAGCCCTGAGAGTAAGGAAAGTGGATGAGTCTGAAAACAACAATAAGAACACAATAACAAATTTAATTGTCACCAGTGGGAATGAAGGATGTGTGTGGCAAAGCTGTGTTAAAGAAGCTATATCTGGGGAATCAGCTTTCTCTGTAGCAGCCACAGATCAGCAGATTTGTGTTATGTATCTTGTGCACTCTACTGTTATGTTGTATGTTGTCTGTAATGTTTTTCATTTTGCTATATGCTGTCGTTGTCCTGTTCTGATGTGCCTATGGACTACAGACCGCAAACCTTCACCAGGGCCCAACAGTCCACTTAAATTCAATCAAGCTGCGCCAAATTTCATGCCCTCGTAGAGATTCCTAAATATACCAGATTTTTCAAGATACATTAATTATTCCCTCAGAAAGTGGTGAAAATGTTAATGTTATTGCACAATGTGCAAAAAAAGAGCATGTCTCTGCATCAAAATGAAATGGAAACGTCTCTGACACATACCGCACCCTTTCACCAAGTTTCCTGATGATCCGTCCGGTAGTTTTTGTGTAATATTGCTTCCAAACAAATAAATACAAGCTCACAGCTGGACAGGGGTGAAAACATAACCTTATTACCTGAGGTAAATGTCTTGCACATGTGTGATATGAGATGTTGGAGGTTAGAGTGAGGCATACAGTCTGCTGAAAGCTACACAACTGTGACAGTGAAGTATCTTCTAAAGTTTGGCCATCACTCAAATTGCATAAAATAGGGTGCAGATACAATAAAAAAAGCATTTGGGTTGTGGTTGGAGTTATTGGTAGAAATAAACTGTTTCCTATTCCAGCAGCTGGGTCCTCTGAAGTCTGCATTTCTAGACTAAATATGTCAAAACAAGTTGGCAAAGTCTGTCCCATCTCAGACCCAAGGAGTTCAGTGGAGCATCAGGACATTTTTCATCAAGTCCAGCAGCAACATCAGGTCACTGCATCATATTTATAACCAGGTATTCAAGGGTTGTCATCAATCCCTCTTAAATCCATACTCACTATAATGATCTGTGAAAAACGCCACAGCAATGTGTAAACAAAGGAAGCCATGGACTCACTATCTGATGTGAAGCTATAAGTTAAGGCAGTATAGGATCTTCTTGTGCATGCCTCCTACGCTACATGCACAATTCCTGCAGGTTCCACCAGCTCTTTCTTGTTTTACATCCAATCAATACGGTGGCCGAGAGAGCTCAACGCACTGCAAATTAAGAAAACAAATGCAAACAGAAAAAAACATGTGCAAATTAAGAAAACATCTTCATCAATTTGACGACACATTCGCTGCAAAAAGTCACAGCACATGAAAACGGCTGCAAATTGCGAAAAAACAATAAAGGAAATGTTTCTTGGAGACACTAAAAAGTGATGAACCTGGCTGTAGTTCAATACCTTGTGAAGTTCCATCACACCGGACGAGCAGCAGACTTCAATAACTTCACACAGCATTAAATTACAGCCAGGTTCATCACTTTTGTGTGTCCCCTGGAGACATCTCCATTGTCAGTTTCTGTATTTGCATGTGTTGTGACTTTTGTAGCGTAAATGTCTTTAAATTGATGAAGTTGTTTTCTTGCATGTGTTGAGGTCTCTCTGCACCGTAAATCAAAACTTGACACGCTCGCCTCATTCAGCTGTAAGTTCAGTACCTCGATGAGTGAGTGACCCACCTCACCCTTATACCACCTCAACTCTGGATACAAGGCCATCTCTGCTCAAGTGTCCAATCAGAGGTCTTCATCAGACTTCAAGCTCCATTCATCATCACCGGTGAAGAACTGGTCACCATTACTTCAATTGTATTGGATTTGGCTGCAACGCTGTTTACCCATGAAACCTCAGAAGTATTTTGTGGACTCAAACACTTCACCCACCCCTCTATCGGCATAGTGGTGAGCAGATAATGTGTGAATTTTCATTTTTAGGTGAACTATCCCTTTAAGGGCAACTTCCTGGCGATAACTGGCTTTAAATTGGCATGATGAGGGAAGGAGTGGCGCCTGAACACACCACCAGTTCTTCTGCATCTGTTAATGATGATAAACATTTTTATTTGTGGAAAAAGTGCAGGTTCATCTCGGTGTGCGAGTCTGACAGACGCACCTTTACGTTCTGCATCTTTGAGAGCTGCAGTTCTTGATTTATGACACAGGTTGTGGTCAGAGTGCTGCTTCTACAGTGCATTTAGCAGAAGCATGGGTATTTGACCTGTGGAGCTTGAGCAAAGGAAAAGTACAGAAAATCGTTGCTGATGGATGTAGTTGCAGTTTGGTACATGCTTGAATTGAAGTGAACAGGTAAACAGAAGTTTCTGCTGCTAGTTTCTGTCAACAAGAGCAGTCCAGCTGAGACAGCTTGAATGCTGTCTCAGTGGAGAGGAGCGTGGAAGGAAGAAAATAAGGATGACAAGGCTGACAGGAGTCAAGGCTGCCTGCGGTTGAGAAACCATCATGGAAATAGAGTGAAAGAGAAATAGATCACAGATGGAAAAAAGACAAATGATGCTGTTGGATTTCCTGACGTTGATGATGTTGCTGGAGAAAGTCTGTTTGTCTCATATGAAGTTCAGTTCAGAGAAAAGAGGGAGAAGATAAATTAAGCCGACATGTAATTAAAAATGAATCATAGTCACTGACAACAATGTGGGACCCTTTGCTGAGTGGTCACATGTTTTCATTTTATCAATAGTTTTGAAGTTTGACAAGTGTTTGA